GGCTCTACCGTTCTAGCTTCATTCAACTTAGTCTCTTGTAGACACACTACATCGATCTGCTCATCTTTCACTTTCCTCGCCAACTCCCTTCTCTTGGGCAGCAGTGATTGGGCCCCCACGCCTCTCACGTTCCAAGTCAGCAGTTTCAGCCTATTGCAGTTTCCCTGCACTGGCATCCCCTACCACTAACCTAACCCCTAGTACATCCCTTGCTATGTTAAGGTGGTACCTTCCTCTATGTATTGCTGGGGGGGATGTCCTTATCCTTGCGACACCCATTCAAGATAAGTATATAGTATAGTACCTACCCTGCCCTACTCTACCCTCTCACACCCCCCGTTCCCAAATACCAGTTCCATTCTGGAACTGCACACCCCCCACGTGTTCCATCAGCGGCAGGCACGCATTAACACTGTTGAGAAGAGCCAGAGATGTTGTATGAACCAGGTGGTAGTCCTGCGAGAGGGCCGCAGGGCCATAGGCTTCGGCGAACCATATCCAGTGCATGCCTGTCGATCCTAGCCTCGGAACTCCCGGTCTCTTAGGGATGGCTTCCACAAAGAAGACAAAGATGACATACTCATCCCCCCCCGTAGTCTCCCGCACAAATCGGAGTGCTGATATCTGAGGCAGCGACACCACTTCGTATCTTGGACCCAACCTTTCAGCCACCTTCTTGAGCACCTGCTGTTCCCGAGGTGGGCGGGCCACTCCAAAAATTGGTACATCCGTTGTCCCCTCCAGGAGCAGCCTTATTTCCTCTGGCGCCCGCCATAGGACAATCGGGCAGGCATAGCCCTCTCCCGCCCTAAGAATGTCAGGCAACCTGGCCCCTGCGCGCTCCTGCCGTGCCAGGCCTTCCAACTGACTCTCAGGCGGCTGGCGCTGCTGACTCTCCTGCTCATGCGTACTTCGGTTCTCAGCACTTGCCACCTCCGCTGGTGTAGCCCCCTCTTCCGACCCCTGCCCCCGCGAACTATGGTGTTCTTCTTCTACTAATCGCTCCTGTTGCTGCTGGCTTGCAGGCCCCTGGGCCCCTCCCTCTGCTGAGCAGGGCTGCTGCTGCTGGTTTGCAGACCGATGAACAGACTGTTGGTCATCCTCAGAGCTATCCGATGTCTCTGTAGTAGAGGATTCCAACGAGTTGTCATCGTCTTGGCAGCTTGACTGATCACCCACCCCCGCGGCCGGGAGGCCGAAGCTTGGTTCCTTGAGGGGGACCGATCCCGAAGGCGGTGGTGACTCGTTTCTTTTCTCCTTTCCTCGCAGCGAATACCTTGGTTCATATCCCTTGGTTCCCAAGGGGGATCGATGCCTCTCTCTTGTACACTTCGGTCTTGTTTGTGAGGTTTGCGATGAAATCTGCCGTCCCGAGGTCTCCTGATCCATAGTTTTCCCTTGCATCGATGCCACCCTGTCGGAGGAGAAGGTCGGAACCGGAAAGCATTCCGCTGATGAGGATTTCTTCTCTGGTCCCGTGGTCACTTGCTTGCGCCTTCGCCCGTATTTTATCGGTGAGTGGGGGACCTGATCAGCTATAATTGGTGTTTCATACACTGGCCTAGCCGGTTGCAGCTGCGTGCCCGACTTCCCCACGCTGCCCTGTTCCCCTCGCCTTTCAGCCTGCTCCTGCCCTTGTCCTTCCTGGCTTACCTGCGTAGATGTTTCGTACATCGACCTGCCCGGTTGCTGCGCGCACCCGACTCCCCCCCACTGTCATGTTCCCCTCGCCCTTCAGCCTGCCCCCGCCCTGGTTCGTCCTGCCTCACCTGCCTATCGTGTGCGCCCAACTCCCCCACGCTGTCCTGTTTCCCTCGCCTTTCAACCTGGCCCTGCCCTTGTCCTTCCTGCCTTACCTGCCTATCGTCCGCCTGCGCTTCTTTCCTTCGCTYGCTTTGTCCCCCTTGGCCCTCGGATAACCCAACCCTCCCCCCTCCGTCTCCCCCATCAGCATTCTTCTCGGACGAAGTAGCTCGGTTCCCCTGCTGCCCGTGCGTTCCCTGAGTAATCGTTCCCTCCTGTCCTTCGTTCGGCCGGCTAGTCTCGCCCCCGTCTGCGGCCCCCCGAATCCCTTCTGAAGGCTGTGTCTGCCCGCCGTCCCCGACCTCCTTACCGGACTTGGCTGACGAAGCCGCAGCGTCCCTCTCTCTCTGGTCGCCTTTTGTCCCTTGTTCTTGTCGTGAACTACCCGTTTTGGAGCCTTTCTCGTGTTCCGTCCCCTGCTCCGTCTTCCTTTTCCGGTCTTCTCCGAAAAGCCAGTGCGGGTCGTCAGTCTGCATGGGGTTGTCTCCCCTCCCCTCCCACAATACATTCCGGCGGTATCTTCCCTTAGCCGGCTTCCTCCGGCTTTCTTCGTGACAGGCCTGGCTTGCGGCCACCTTCCGCGCCTGCGCTGCAATGCTGGCCTCCTTCAGGAGGGCGTTATCCACCTGGAGCTCCAGCTCATGCCAGGCCCTCCTTTCTTCCTGAGGATTCGACTGCAAGATCGGATCCATAGTACTTCTCACCTCCCTTTCGTRCATCTCCTGCAGTGTCTCAGCCGGCGTCAAGCATCTTCCATGGAGCCCCATGTGACCATGTGTGAAACACACCTCGCAAAAGGGTGTCTCWYTCGTTACTACTCTCACCTCTTCGAAGCTATAAGGGCCGATAGCCACCGCGAYGCTGCTCTTCAGCGGGTTCCGCATCGGGCCATCCAGCACATACTTCACGTACTCTCTTTGCTCATCGTCCACCCGCTGTTCACTAACAATTGGACCAAAGAAGTGCTCGACAGCCCCTCTCATCCATTTCGCCGCCAGTAGGGAGGGTTTGAAGACTTTCACCCATGGCCGTCGTTTGCGCTCACGCATTCTGTCCGCGTTCATTTCCGCTGGCAGCTTCCATGGTTAATATATAACTCGGCCATGCACTTCTGCCACATGCAATTCGTCCCTCATTCTTTGTTCGATGAGCCAGTTCCTCATCTCAACCGTCGGTGCTAAGTATGCGACCGTCAGCTCCCCCTCTGTATCAATCTCACCTCGCCACTGGCCTCTTCCCAACATCCATGCCTCCTCCATATGGCCAACCCATTCCCGCTTGGCCCTACGTGACCAGCCTGCTGTTCCTTCCGGCATCCTACACGCCACTGTGTGCGCCCGCACGTAGGTGTTTTGCAAGTACATAATCTCGTTTGTCGGCCACGCCAAACATACTCCTCCCTGTATGGCATATTCAATCAGCTCTGGCCCTTCCATGGGTTGGCGCAACAAATACGAGTGCCTCAGCACCTGCATGAGGCGCCATCGTTCTTGTGCCATCCCTTCCATTCTCACCCCCAGAAGCTTTTCCCGTCACTTATATCTAACAATCCACCGTAAGCCCCTGATATTGTGTCTCGACCCACCTCCCCCTTCCCCCAACATTCACCCACTAATCACTTATCGTCTCCCAGAAACATCACCCCCTTAGATCTATCTTTGCCAACTTGACTTCGTATCTACTTCCCTGAGAAGGATTCGCTACTCAACCACTAACTGACGTCCTTCCCCACGCTTGCCGGCAACAACCTATGTCGAGCGCTGTCAAGGACCTCCTCGCCTTTTCGCCAGGTCAGCCAGACTGCTCCGGACTCGTAAGCAAAATCACATAGTGAAAGCGAGCCGGGCAGTACATAAGGAAGAGCTCCTAATCTCCCCCCGTGTGGTCTCGTCTCCTTCCCAACACGCCCCCTCAGCCAATTCTCAGCTTAACAGAGACATCACCTTCTACCCCCTACCCACCCCACCTTCTCTTTGACCTTAGTCGTGATCACCTCAGTCGGCCTAAGCTGCGGCAATCTAAACACCGTCTTCCCGCAACGTCGGCCTAAGCGGCGGCAGTCTGAACGCCGTCTTCACGCGGCATCATCCAACCCTTCTTCCATCATCCGTCACGCTGGCCCAATCCCCACCATCGAGCCGCCCCGCCAGGTCTATCCTATCCCCGGCTGGTCAGCGTTCGTCCTTCCTTCGGCAGACAAGACTTATCCCACCGTCGTCGCCCAATGTCGGTCTACCCGTCGGCCGCAGTCAACCCTCCTCCATCGCCCCGCAAACAAGCCCCACCCCCGCCGTCGTCGCCATCCCGCCAGCCACTTTTTTTTTTTTTTTTTCACTCGGAAACCTTCTTTTTTTTTTTTGGAATAAATATTACATCATGAACCCACATACACTTCCTTCCATCTGGCTGAAGGAGCCCTGACCAGCATTGATTACTCCAGCATCGTGGAGGATTGGCTGTCAGCTTGCCGTGCTTTTCCCTTTCCTCTCAGGTCCACTATAATGGCCTGTCAGATAGAACATAAACGGCAAGAAAGGGCCTGGACGCTACAAAGGCTGCCAATTCTGTCTAAACTCTGATCCCCGCCCATGTGGCTCATGAGATCCCTACCAGTCTGAACCCTATTTGCCTTGATTGCAGGGTTGCACCGGCGCCGACCGCCGACCCCGACCGCCGACCGTTTTTTCCCGACGGATCGGGACTGACCGGTCGGTGGTCCGCCAACCAGTCAGAAAACAGGCATCCGCTGCTTTTTTTTTTTTTCTGATTGCGCAGCCTCACTGCGCTTGCTGAGTATAGCCCAAATCCGCAGAGAAAGTTTTTGGGATGGGGGAGGGGTATGGGGGGTTGGGGTTGGAGCATACCTGCTGCGCAAGTGTGCTGGTCACCGATGGGCAAAAAACAAAAAAACAAAAAAAAAAAAAGTAAACAAATAGCTCCTTATTAATATTTATTTCAAACCCCCTGCGGGTTATCCGAGAGGGCCCTGCACACAATCAGGAAGGGCCTTGTTGCCATGAACAAGGTAGTAGTCATAGCCATGCTGCAGGTATGGCACGCCAAGTATATATGCTGTTGATTCACTTTAAGGTCCGCGTTTCAGCAGTTATGGGACCACTGAGCACGCGAGTTTCTGGGCAATAGCAGGCCAACTCACCACATGCTTTTCAGGGCTTCCCTCCACTAAAAATGTGCAAAATGAATCTTCTGCTAGAACATGGAACCGTACCCCGCCATATGTTTTATCTTTTGTGCAAGTGGTGACCAGTGAAGCAAGGCCCTTAGGGCCACTTGTCGTAGGAAAAAGAAACAAAAGAAATAGAGGAATGAATCTTCTGCTAGAACATGGAACACATATGCCGCCATATGTTTTGTCTTTTGTGCTGGTGACGAGTGGAGCAAGGCCCTTAGGGCCACTGCTCGTAGGAAMAAGAAACAAACGAAAGAGAGAGCTACGGTGATAAGTAGTTGTAACTTGTAACCCATAACTGCTCGAAAGCAGACCTGACTTCGGATCCAGAGCATATATTGCTGGCCTGCTCTTCTTTCATACGAAATTTGYTGAACRTCTCTTGAGATGTTCGGACMCCTGCATATGTACTGCTGGGGTCCTCCGCGAAAAAGACTATTTAAAAAGGAATACGTGGGCCCTATGTTTTTTTCTGTGGGGAGGTGCGCCATTGGCTATCCCAGCCAGCCTTCTCCAATTTTTTTTATATACCCTATTTAGTGGGGTGCGTCGCATCACGTGTGCGTGCATGCTTACACGTGCGTTATGCGCCGTGCGTGCGGAGCTCACGCGCACGCGATGCGACGCAGGTATGGGTTGGAGTATAGGCGGAGTGTAGGGGTGATATAGGGAATATTGGGGGCGTTAATAAGGATGTTGGGTGTGGTTCGGGAGTGTTAGGTTGGTGTATGCGGGTATTGGTGGCCGCTATGGGGGTGTGGGTGGGGTTATTAGGGGTTCTGGATCCCCCCCCCCCAACAAAAAAAGGTGCGAGGTGCCGACGATCCCCGACTGCTAGGTGCCGACCAGCCGATCGGTCGGCGGGTCGGCAGCCGACCAGTCAAAGGCCGCCGACCGTCGGGGTGTGCAACACTGCTTGATTGTCTAAAAACCTAAACCCTAAAACCTCAGCTATAGTTTTGACGAGACTCCTAATTCATAAACCCTAGAACCTAGGTAATCTTGTGTATCTTTTCCTAATTATGAAGGCTCTATTTCAGGACTACCACTGTGGATGTTCTTCTAGGCCCAGATTGGAGTTGGTTCCTCGTGCACCTGGGTACTCCGCTGAGAAACAGGCTTGACCGAATTATGCCACCCTTTCCATCTTAAAACCTGCCCATTCAGCCATGCCACTTTGCCCCTTACCAACCAGACCCGTATGAATTTGGCAAGTGTCACCTGTTCGGTCTCCGGACTGTTTTGCATCCACAGTTTGACCTTCCTCCAGTGACACAGGATTTCCGCTTCAATCACCTCTTTGGTTGCTGTCCACACTTTCTCCCGTGGATTCTTCGTGCCGTCCACAGTTCTGCTGCATCTCTCTTTCCATATTGCCCAGAGCGTGACCTTGCGTACCATACCAAACCAGATTTTCTCCGACTTGTCAAGGTTAGATGGTAAGTTAGTCCAGAGGAGCAGTTGAAGGGGGTGTTCTGGGAGGGGAGACGAGAACAGATTGTCCCATAGGGCTGCTGCTCTTGCCCAAAAATCTGTAGCTTCTTTGCAGTTAATCAGGCAGTGTATCAAATCTTCTTGTTCTTGGTCGGCGCAAACTGAGCAGACATCCACACTGGTTGGGTCGTTCTTTCTTCTTCTAACATGTAACCACTGGTTAACCGGTAGAGCAACGTACGTTATGAGCCACTGCATGCTTCTGATTTTTATGGGTCTTATCGTTTTATATTTCTTCCATGGAATTTTTGCTATCAGATCTGCCTCAGAACCTATTAACTTGCACCATTTTCCTTTGATGATTGGGTCTGGGTCCTTTGTTTTTAACAGCATTTTATAACCTAGCTTAACTGTGTAATCAGAAATTGGGATTGGTGGTTTAGTGGTTCTGTTTCGGTTGGAGGGCCAAGCCCATTCTGAGAGGTCAAACTCGAGGTCTTGAATTGCTGTCCTTATTTGAAGTATATGTTTTGGCCAGAGTCCTACTGCTCTTATTTTACGGAGCATAATTGAAGCTCTTCTATGGATAATGGTTTATCCAATTTGCTTGTTTGCTCATCAGATATCGTTCTGTCTAGGTACTGTAGCATTTTGGATCTGGCCGCTCAAGTGTTTGGGGGGGGGGTTGTTGGTGTTTTAGATCGATATAGTTCTTCATAGAAATTCTTTGCGATCTCTAGCATCCCTTCCACTATCTATTCATGTTGCCTATTGCCCTGATAACTTCTTAAGACCCTCTATTGAACTGGATCTGTTGTTTGCTTTTATTCTTGAGAAAAAATGCTATGACATCTGTTCGCTCAATTCGAGGTCAGTCATTCTGGTTCTGATCTGGAGTCCTCTCACTTCCCACTGACGCCAGACAGCCAGTTCTTCTCGTGTTCTTTCTAATACTTCTGTGTGCATTTGAGAAGAAGGGTTGGTGGCCAGCTTGTTTTCCGCTACTCCGAGGGCCGTTTCAAGCATCACTTTCCTATGTTTCCTGTCGTTGGTCATTTTCCATGATATTCTAGCAGCTGTTTCGGCCTTGAGGTAGCTTTTTTGGAACCATTTCCATCTGTCCTGACCAGTGATAAGGCTTCCTCTGAGATTTTGCCAACTAGTCGACATCCCCTCTTGGAATTCTTGACTTAGTAGGAGCGAGTTATTCAGTTTGTGAAAACTGTGTCCCTTTTGAATATATTGGTCGAAGTTGATGATTAGCTCAATTGGTTTATGGTCAACGCCTGGGTACGGCGCTAACGCCAGCACGTCCGCTTCCTTAACTCTCCCCATGAGGTGGTCGGAAATGAGGAAGTAATCTATGCGAGAAAATGTCGTATGGTGGGCGTGACTTTTCTTGACAAGTGAGAATGCTTTGGTAGTAGGGTGTAAAGTGCGAAAGAGGTGTACTAAGCTGTGGTCTAAGATGAGTTTTTGGATGGGGGCTGCTTCTTGAGACGACTATGGTGGGGCTGTTCTGGATATACGGTCATTGACCGGGTCCAGGG